CGCGCCCACCGCGCTCATTTCTGCACACCCTTCATATGTTTGGCGGCCCTATAGGGAACTCCACCGACGGCCCCCATGGCTGCGTTCGCATGCGCCCACCGCGCCCATTCATCCCTCACACGTTTCGTGACCCCACAGGCGGCTCCTCCAGAGGCCCCAGTGGCTGCGTCCGCACGCGCCCACCGCGCTCATTTCGGCACATCTCTCGTACGCTTCGTGGCCCCTCAAGGAGCTCCACCATGCGCCCGCCCCGCCTATTTCGGTAAAACCCTCGCGCGCGTCGTGGCTCCTTAGGGAGCGCCACTGGAGGCCCCTGTGGCTGCGTTCGCATGCGTCCGCCCCATGTTCGGCTCACCACTGAGGCGTTTCGTGGCCCCGTACGGAGCTCCACCGAAGGCCCCAGTGGCTGCGTTCGCACGCGCCCAGCGCGCCCATTTCGGTACCACCGAAGACGATACCTACAACTGCGTTGCTCACAACTGCATCTGGTTGGGTCATTCACCAGGCTAGCTTTCTCCAAATCAGCCAGTGGTGGTGTGATGTCCTCGGTTTGAAGAGACAGCGCCCAGCGTCCTCCGGATCACCTCCTTCCCAGCTTCCCTCATCCTCGTCATCATCACCATCACCATCACCATCACCATCACCATCACCATCACCATCACCATCACCATCACCATCACCATCAGCACAAAATCAGCATCAGCGTCAGCATCATCGTCATCATCGCCATCTGTACACCATCATCATCATCAACATCATCATCATCATCATCATCATCATCATCATCATCATCATCATCATCGTCATCATCATCATCGTCATCAACATCATCGTAATTAGCATTACCACCATCATGAATCTGAGCATAATCAACATCAACATCAACATCAGCATCAGCATCAACACCAACACCAACACCAACATCAGCATCAACAGCATCATCATCACAACAACCATCATGATCAGGACGAACACCATTATCTGTCACATGTCGTCCACCGGTGGACATGCGCCCCCACCGCACATGTCGGGACACTCCTCACATGTTTCGTGGCTCCATGAGGGGCTCCAACGAAGGCCCCAGTGGCTGCGTTCACATGCGCCCCCGTCACACATTTCGGGCACACCCCTCACACGTTTCGTGGCCCCATAGGGGGCTCCACCGACGCCACCGTTGGGTGCGGTCACATGCGTCGCCGCCGCGCATGTCTTCACACCCCTCAGACGCTTCGTGGCTCCATGGGGAGATCTACTGAAGGCCACAATGGCTGCGTTCTCGTGCGTCCCCGTCGCAAGTACACGCTCTTCGTGGCCCCAAGGCGCTGCACTGACGGCACCGATGACTCCGTTCACATGCGTGCCTGCCGCGCGTTTCGTCACACCCCTCATGCTTTTTCGTTGGCCCATATGGAGCTCCACCAAAGGCCCCAATGGCTGCGTTCACATGCGTCCCTACTGCACATTTGGGCGCATCGTGGCCCCATAAGGGGCTCCACCAAAAGCCCCAATGGCTGCGCTTTCATGCGTCCCCACCGCGAACCCCGTCGCGCCTCCCACACATTTCGTGGTTCCTCCGAAGGCCACAGTGGCTTCGTTCGAATTCGTTCCCGCCCCTCATTTCGTCAATCCTCTCACACGTTTCGTGGCACCATAGGGAGCTCCACCGAAGGCCCCTGTGGCTGCGTTCACATGCGTCCCCGTCGCACAGCCTTCACACCATCACACGTTTCTCGGCGCCACCGAAAGTCCCAATGGCTGCGTTCGCACGCGTGCCCACCTCTCAGTTCGGCACACTGCTTACTCGTTTCGTGGCCTCATAAGGGGGCCCCAGCGACGGCACCAATGACTGCGTTCACATGCGTCTCCGCCGCACATTTCGCCACATCCCTCACACGTTTCGTGGCCCCATAGGAGGCTCCACCGAAGGCCCTGATGGCTACGTTCGCATGCGTCCCCGCTCGGCACATCCCTCACACCCAAGACGGTCCTGAGACCCCCGAGGCTGCCCCACAAGAGCCCAAGGCAACCGAGTTACCACACACATGAGCTCCATGAGAGCTCCTCAAGGCGTGGCGACGAAAAGTGTCACATGTGCCGGCTTTCCTTTTCCTCCTCGTCGTCGTCGTCGTCCTCCTCCTCCTCCATCCCTTTCCTTTATCAATGGCCCTCCCTGTCGCGCCCCCAGACGTGTCGGTAGGGCGGGCTGGGGGTTTCGCATGGGACTTCCTCACCCTGCACGCCCCCGAAACTTGAAATTTGTAGCAATGTCACGGAGGGAGCGCGGGTGGTTTTCAAGAAAGTGGCGCCATGTTGATCTTGCCTTGGCGCCGCGCACATTCGTTTCCCAAATTTGCAACCACTTCAAGACTGGAGGGCGGGTCCTGTTCAACAAGTTGTTGCTTTCTTATCGCCGCGCACATTCGAGGATGGGCCGTTTTCGAAATGTAGCTCTCGCCTCAGGGCCGCGCACATCCATCGTAAACGTTTTTAACTGTAAACGTTTTTAACTGCTTCAAAGATGGAGGGCTGCTTCTTTTCGAAATGTGGCTCTCGTCTTAGCTCCGCGCACGCTCGTGTTACTCTCTTGCAACTGTTTTGCGGGTTCGTGTGGCTGAAGTACCAGGGATTGTGTTTTGTCAAGATTTAGGATGGTCAGGGCACAACCGTACTTCTGATTCGAAGTGTGGAGATCCCATGGATGGTGTTCTGGCGCGATTTAAGGTTGCCAGGCGCACCAATCATGTTGATTCGCGGCGTTGAAGTCCCAAAAACGTCGTTTTGGCATGATTGGGGATTCTCAGACGGTTGTCGTCTAACAGGGCACTTCCCGCAATTAAAACGAATTCTTGTAGGTTGATATGACGACGGGTCCTGGAATGATGGTTTCCTGAAACATTGTTGATGCGTCCGGAGTTTACGCAGGTCCGCATCCTCCTCGTCATGATCATGGGCATGATCATGATCATGCTAATCATGACCATCACCATCACCATCGCCATCGCCACCTCCACCATCCCCATCCTCATCCTCATCCGCCTCCTCCTCCTTATCATCGTCATCGTCGCCAGCACGGCTTGACCGAACCTGGGGCCACGAGGTGACACACGCGACGGCCTCGCACGGCTCCTCGAACACTCGCCGCTCAGAACGCCGGGCCGGCACGGCGGCGGCTCGAAGGGCGCAACTGCTCGCGGCCTTCTCGGGCTCCCTCCCGCGTGCCTCGCGCGGCTCCCCGCATTGACTTTTTCGGGCTCGTCGCGGGGCCTCCCCCCCCCGAGGCCAGGAGGGCCCCCCCTGGACGGGCCCTCGAGGGCCCCCCGGGGACGGTCCGAGAGGAGCGCCCCGAGAGGGCCTCGAGAGGGCCCCCAAGACTCCCCTATGAGGGATTCGAGGGGCCCCTCAGGAGGAAGCAAAGGGCGAGGAGGAGGAGGACGCCACCGAGGAGGAGGAGGAGGAGGAGGAGGAGGAGGAGGAGGAGGAGGAGGAGGAGGAGGACTATGCTCCAAGGTGCTGGTCGAGACACGGGACCGCCTCCAGATCGAGGTTCGAAGGGGGAAGGCTCGGGAATGGAGAAGGGAGCGGGGGGAGCCTGGAAGGCGATGTCGAACGCCAGCGCGAAAGGAACGGTCACCAAGTCGTGAAAGAGGGCTAGCAGGCTGAGGCAGTCGATCAACCGGCGCCCTCTCCACTCGGGGTCCAGAGCGACCCCATCGTACCTGGTGCTGCTCGGCAACATCGTCGTCCTCAGGACAGGGTAAACGGAAGAAGGGAGGGAGGGGCAGGCGGTAGAGAGAGGGATGCAGAGGGGGAGGGGAGGGGCGGACAGGGAGGGAGAGATGGGTGGGAGGGGGACGGGGAGGAGAGGAGTGGATTGAGCGAGGGACTCAGGACTCAAGCTTTACGTGTCCAAGGCGCAATCCCATGCGGGGATACGTGCGGGGTGTGTGCACAATGCCGAGACGCGCTGCAGACCTGATCGTTTCCAACATCCTAAGTGAGGTTCTTGTTTTCTCTGCCCCCCCCTTAGGAACCTCACACCTCACCCCCTTCGGTCCCCCTCTCCTCTTTTCATACGTACCATCGCCATAACCATCCTCATGAGAGGTATCATTATCGTCATACTCCTGAGTACCCATCTCGGGTTTCCCCAAAGCATCACCAGCACCATCATAATTATCACCGCCATCAGCGTCATCACCACAGCATGGCCATCAATCATCATCACCAGAACCTTCACCATCACCATCATAACCATCATAACCATCACCATCTTCATCATCACACCTGGGAGTCTGAATCCTGGAGTGAGTGAGTTGCGAGGAAGTCTGGAGCGGGAGACCCCGCGGATCATGTTGGTAATCCGAGGCAGCTGTCGGAATACCATGTAAAACACACAGGCTTGGTGACACCTGGGAGCCTGAATCCCGAGGATGCCTCGAGTGGGAGCCTCGGCGGTGAGTGCATTGCGAGGAATTCTCGAGCGGGAGCCCCCTCCCTATGGGGCCTGGTAATCCGAGGCGGCCGTCGGAAGAAGTGTACAAACACATGCTTAGGTGATACCTGAGAGCCTGAATCCTGAAGAAGTCTCGAGCGGGAGCTTCGTCGGTGAGTAGATTGCGGGGAAGTCTCGAGCGGGAGCCATCTCTCCCTATGGGGCGCGTAAATCATGTGGCTGCCATCGGGATAACATGCAACAACACAAGTTTGGTGACACCCGAGAGCCCGAATCCTGAGGACGTCTCGAGCGGGAGCCTCGCTCTCGAGCAAATGTAATGAATGTCTGTGAGTGCATTGCGAAAAAGTCTCGAGAGGGCGCCCCTCCTCTATGGGTTCCCCGCCTCGCTTTGGTGATCCGAAGCGGCCATCGGAACACGAGGCAACAACGCACGTTTGGTGATACCTGGGAGCCCCGTCTGTGAGTGACTTGCGGGGCCCCGTCTGTGAGGAAGTCTCGAGCGGAGCCCCGTCTGTGAGTGACTTGCGATGGCGTCTCGAGCGGGAGCCCCTCTCTTCCCCCCCTTCTGGGGTCCCCACCTCACGTTGGCTCTCCGAGGCGGCCATCGGGAGACCAGGACCTGAATCCCGAGGAGGTCTCGAGCGGGAGCCTCGCTCCTGAACGCACTGAGAGGACGCCTCGGGCGTTTGCCTGTGAATCGCGGGAAGGTCTTGAGCGGGAACTCTCCCTGCGGGCCCCCCGCTTCATGTGATTGATCCGAGGCGGCCATCGGGATTTCCTGTAAAATCGCAGGTTCGGTGACACATGGGACTCTGAATCTTCAGAGCATCTCGAGCGGGAGCCTCCTTCCCTTGTCGAGCGTCCTTTGTAACTCGAGGCGGCCATCCTCAATCAAGCTTGTAAGCGTCGGCAAGGACCAGCAGATACCAGACAGGAAGAGAGCCTCCGTAGTCACAAGGACGACGAGGAGGATTCCTTCTCGATTCGTTTGGAAGATTCTCATGTGGGGTCCTTCCGTCAGAGTAAGTTTTTGAGTGAGGGACTCCCTGCCTCAGAGGGAGGGAGAGGAGGGAGAAGAAGGAAGGAGAGAGCAGGAGAGGAGAGGAGAGAGGGGAAGGAAGACAGAGGGGATGAGAGGGAGAGGAGGGCAGATCTCCCACTATCTTGGAAACATCGCGACTGTTTTTTATCCCCAGCTCGGGCCTCCAGAAGCAATTTTCGGGAACCTGTGACCAACAATTAGCGATCTGGGATGAAAAGCCGGTTCCCAAAGTGGGGTGGCGAAGTAAGTTAGCCCACGCCACGAAGACTCATACTGTGGTAAATCATAGTGTAACATTGCGCAGCATGATTGTATAGTGCAGTTTGACGAACCACAACACATCACTGCATAGCATTGAAGTTCGTTGCGTAGCACACACTAGCATGGCAGTGTATATCACTGCATATCATTGCCGTGTGTAGCATAGCTTGTATAGCTGTGTGTACCATTGCGTCGCACAGAACTGCGTACCATAGCGAAACACTGCATTGCACAACATACCACGGCATACTAGAGCGTTGCAGAGCAGAGCATGGCGCTCAAGGAGTCCCCAACTTTTCGCTCCAATTTGGAGCCCCTGGGTTTTTCTTGGTCTCGAGGGGGGTGCTCTGGAGGTTCGGGTCGACAAGAAGGGGGGCTAGTGAAAGGGGCGTCAGCGAATCCTCTCACGTAGTTGGTTTTCCCGGCGCCGACTAGCACTAATGCATCGAAGAAAGCGCCGTGAGATCTGACAGTGCGAAGAGCTTGAAACATTATAAAAAATCTCGACCGGAGCCCCCAAACCCCATGTTTCTGCGCTACTTTTCGAGCCGGAAAGAGCTGTGAGGGCTCCAGGGCCCGAAACCCTGACGAAAACGCCCAGTTCGAAAAAACTGGAACGTCAGGATCTCAGGGCGTCAGGCAGCGGGGCCGAAGCCAGCTGCGCCAGCAACAAAGTTTGGTGAACCATGGTACGTCGCTGCTCGAGACCGCAGGAAATGGCGTGCGCAGGCCGAGGGCTACACGCAAGACTTCTGAGTTCAGCTTTGCATGCAGATTTTCCATCGCCCACACGAATTTATAGCTTTCTGCCCACGTCCGCTTGCGGACCGATTCGATTCGACCGGGCCTTGCTTGCTCGCTAGGTTGCGTGCAGGTGCGTGTGCACTCAACAGAAGGAGGAGGAGAAGAGGGAAGAGGACGAGGACGTGAGAAGGACGAGGATCATGATTTTGTGGCAGAGCGGCCACCGCGCACACTCCTCGGCGCGAGCCCCGGCTGGGCTCGCGCGGCGCGGCGCGCAGCAGCCACGGCTGCGCGCCCCCTTGCCGCCCCGCACCCTCCGCCGTCCGACCCCAAGGGGCCGTGTGGGCCTCCCGAGCGACCAGCAAGAAGGGCGACCAACAAGAAGGGCCACCCGAGCGACCAACAAGAAGGGCGGCCAGTCTGGGGACACCCGAGCGACCAACAGAAAGGGCCTCGCGCGAGATGGCGCAGCGACCCTGCGCGGCGCCTCGCGCGGGCGGGCCCGCGCGGCACGCCGACCCTCCGCGGGCAGCGTGCGCGCCACCGTTTTTGTTGTTGTTGTTGTTGCTGCTGCTGCTGCTGTTGCTTTTGTTGTTGTTGTTGTTGTTGTTGTTGTTGTTGTTGTTGTTGTTGTTGTTGTTGTTGTTGTTGTTGCGTCGCTCACTTTTGAACACCGTTGAGCCGATGCCCATCCCCATGGGCATGGCCTTGGCCCCAGTGGCCGATCTACCCCCCCTCTGACGGGGGATGCATGACGACTGTTCCCTTCGGGCTTCGAAGGCCCCATCCCCAACCTGGGGCGGTGGGATGGTGAGGCTCAGATGCGATGGCCCTGTGAGATGGGATGGGCTAGAAACTGACGGATCTCGGAGCAGGCATCCTTCCCCGAGATCCGACCTCGCGGACCAAATCCCTGAAATCACAACCGAAGCCCCAGACCCCATTTTCCTCGGGCGTCGCTTGATGGGGGAGCGATACATGAGGGGGGAAAAAGAGGTGCACTTTTCGGGCCCCAGAGGCATCTTTATGGGCCCGAGCCCCTTTGCTGCAGCCCTCGTTGCCCCCTCATTTATCGCTCCCCCCCCCCATTGCGCGACGCCCAACTTCCTGAGCCATGTGCCGAGTTGGCTCGACCCCTTAGAGCCCCTGGGGCCCGACACGGACCAGAACCCGCTCGCTGTGAGCCTGGCCTGGCTGGCCCCGGCCGCAGCTCCAGCCCCTCGCGGCCCCAGCCGCTGGCCGCCCCGCAGGAGAAAGCGGGAGGCGCAGAGCCCAGGGCTCGAGCAGGAGGACTGGGGCCCGAAGGCACCGCCTCTTCCTGCGCCGCAGCGCGCGGCAGAGGCCGTCCGCACGCGCGCCCCAGCAACCCGGGGCCGCGGCGCTGCGAGCTGTCCCGAGCGCACGAGGGGCGGGAAAGACGAGGGCCAGCCGCGGAGGGGAGGACAGAGAGAGGGCCCCCCCCCCCCCCAAAAAAAAAGTAATACATAAAAACGGGCACAAACAACATAAAGGGAGGGCATACCCAGTTACCCCCCCCTCCCCCCCTTGTCAGTCAATTGGTGTTTTACAAGGGGGGGGGGGCAGGCGCTCCCACGCGGCGAGGCCGCAGCGGGGCGCGCGGGGCGGCCGAGCCGGTGCACCACCCCCTTGGCAGCGGGCGCGGCACGGCGTCACGAGCGCACCGAGGGGTGGGCCCAGGGGCGCACGCACACGTACAGAGAAATGGACGCGAATCCCAGGATCCCCCATACTTTCTCACATCTTCTGGACTGTCGTCTTCCCCTCCGCTTCCAGTATCTTCCCCATTCCTTTTGGGGATCGAGGATTCTTTGCGTTTGTGTTTTTTTCCCTCCTGGTAGGGGATCGACTACAGAATTCCCTGAGATCCGATGGCGCGAAACACTGCGACAGCGTGAACAAAATCACGCCCGGAGCCCCAAACCCTATCTTTTAGCGCCATTCTTCGAGCCAGATCGATCTTTGAGGGTCGCATGGCCCGAAACCCGAAACCTGACGCAAACGCCTGGCTCGAAAAAGTTGAGACGCCAGCATGTCAGGGGTTACTTAGCCCAAATTGGTTTTCGCCGCGTGCGCAAAACAAATACCGCCAAAAGTCGTTCCAGCGAATCGCCCGGTCCAATCCTCCTGCTCCTCCTCCTCCTCCTCCTGCTCCACCTCCTGCTCCTGCTCCTGCTCCTCCTGCTCCACCTCCTGCTCCTGCTCCTGCTCCTCCTCCTCCTCCTCCTCCTCCTCATTCTCCTCCTTCTCCTCCTCCACCTCCTCCTCCTCTTCCTCTTCCTCCTGCTCCTCCCCCTCCTCCTCCCCCTACCCCTCCTCCACAATTACTCGATATGAATACTACTATCCCTCTTCCCCTGATGACGGTTTGAAAGTGCTCGACCCCCCCCCGCGTACGGTTTTTTTACACACAAGTTTCCCCTGAATTGGGTTTTCGCCTGCATTTTTTTTCAAAATGCTGCTCTCGCTGAGGCGCCGGCCTCATTTTCGGGCCCCGCTCGTTCCGAATCGTGCTCCCGCTGCAGCGCTGGCCTCATTTCCGTGCTTCCGCTCGTTCCGAATCGTGCTCCCGCTGCAGCGCTGGCCTCATTTCCGCGCTTCCGCTCGTTTCGACTCGTGCTCCCGCTGCAGCGCTGGCGTCATTTCCCGTGCCATGCCACGGCATGCAATGCAATGCTAGGTTGATACTACGCTTTGCGGTGCTCTTCTACGCCATGCCATGCCGTGCTCTACAATGCATCGCGTACCCTTTCGGGATCCTTGCCCTGCTCGACATCCGACTGTGCGAGTAGAGAGGGGATCTACGCCATAGTAAGGGATGGGAGGGAGGGGTAGGATGTCAGATATGACGCGAGCGCACCTAGCTTGTCCCCCTCCACCTCCCCGTCCTCCCCTCCTCCCCCTCCCCCTCCCCGTCCTCCTCCTCTATGTCCACCTCCTCCTCCTCCTCCTCCTCCTCCTTCGTCGTGGTCGTCCTCGTCGTCCTTCTCGTGGGTCGGCGGCACTGGCCGTACGGCCTTTACAATCATTCCGCCGAATCGCCCAGCCCACCAGTGCGGAGCCCTCTGGGCCGGGGCGCCTCCAGCACCAGCGGACCCCCGGAGAGAGGCCCGCGCCGAGAGCCTACGGAGCGCTGGGGGCGCGCAGGCCTCGAGCTCCCGGCGTGTCGCGCGTCGGGCCCTGGGGCCCTCGCGGTGCGCTCGGGGCTCGAACGGTGGCGCAGGAAGCGCTCCTGCACAGATGAGGACCCGATTCGCTACGGTGGCCGCCTGAACGGTGGTCATGCCCCGCCTGAAGAGCATCCTCACGGTGCGCTCGGGGCTCGAACGGGGTCGGGGGCTGCAGCCGCGAGTTCCTGCGGTAATTCAAGCTCTTCGCGCCGACGGGTCTCCGGGGAGTCACCGCGCAGCGGCAACTGCGTGGTGCGGCGAGGGCTCCAAGGGCGGGCCTGGATCCAGCCCCAGTCAGTCAAGCCAAGCGCCGGAGCGCGTGGGCGGAAAGAGGCGATGCGGGCCTTTACCCTCCGCTCGGCGGGAGCAGAGGCACGCCAATCGATTCTGCAGTTAACATCGTGTGCGGCTGGAGGAACGGGGTATCCGAACGGATATTTCGAGCCCTCGGTCCCGAGAGGCCCCCAGGAGGCCCCAAGAGGCCCCCAAGAGGCCTCCAAGAGGCTCCCAAGAGGCCCTCCGCAGGCTCCTAAGAGGCCCCCAAACTGCCCCCCAGAGGCCCCCGAGAGCGCTCCGAAGAGACCCCAAGAAGCATCCCTGAGGACTCTGACCCACAACCCAAGGACGGTGGCGGGATGGGCCGAAGACCATCAGACCCGGCGCCCCATGTGGTCTTGCCATAGGGGAGTAGAGGTGCCTGGCGTGCTGAACTTCTTACGGTCTGGTTTTGGTTCTTTTCCAGAAGAACTGCCCATGGGACTTCGGCTCGTCCCGCCGGCATCCGGAAGGGACCAGAAACGAGCACAACGTGCACAAACAATCTCCAAGACTTCTCAAGATGACCTCCAAGACGGCAAGATGGCTCCCAAGTTCGCCCAAGAAGGTCCAAGATGGCCTCCAAGACGCCCAAGAGGGTTCAAGATACCTCCAAATCCGCCCAATAAGCCGGCAAGATGGGCCAAGCTGGCTCCAGAATGGCCCAAGACGCTCCGAGACGCCCCCAAGACGGCCCAAGAGGTCTCCAAGAGGTCCTCCAGGAAGGCCCGACGAGGCCAACATTATTGATTTTCATGGGATTTCTAAAAGATTTCGGCATTCGCTTCTTTTCGGCCTTCCGACGGCCCGAGACGGCCGAAGAGCCCGAAAATATTGCCCCAAGATCGCCCAAGTGGCCTCCAAGATGGCCCCAGGACGGCCCAAGAGGCCCCCAAGACGGCCCCAAAAGGGCCCCAAGACGGCCCAAGAAGCTTCCAAGACGCGCACGATGGCCTCCAAGACGGCCCCGGAGTACGCCACGATGGCCCCAACTCGGCCCTGAGAGGCCCCCAACACGGCTTCCGACGGCGTCAGACGGGCCAGGAGGCCACCAAGACGGCCCAAGATGGCTCCCAAATGGCCCAAGACGACCCAAGAGGCCTCCAAGAGGTCTCCAAGACGGCCCAGGCAGCCCTCAAGAGGGCCTCCGGAAGGCCAGACGAGGCCAAAATTGATTTTCACTTCGTTTGTGAAGAATTTCGGCATTTGCGTCTTTTCGGCCTGTCGATGGGCCGAGACGGCCCAAGAGTCCCCCAAGATCGCCCAAAAGGCCTCCAAGATGGCCCCAGGACGGCCCAAGAGGCCCCCAAGAGGGCACCAAGACGGCCCAAGAGGCTTCCAAGACGCCCAAGATGGCCTCCAAGACGGCCCTGGAGCATGCGAAAAGGGCCCTAAGTCGGCCCAGAGAGGCCCCGAAGACAGCTTCCGACGGCGTCAGACGGGCCAGGAGTCCACCAAGACGGCCCAAGATGGCTCCCAAATGGCCCAAGACGACCCAAAAGCCCCCCAAAAGGTCTCCAAGACGACCCAAGAGGCCCCCAAGAGGGCCTCAAGGAATGCCCGCAGAGACCCAAATCATTGATTTCCAACGGTTTTAAAATGATCTTGGCGTTTGCTTCTTTTCGGCCTGTCGATGGCCCGAGACGGCCCAAGAGCCCTCAAGGATTGCCCCAAGATCGCCTGGCCCCAGGACGACCTAAGAGGCCCCCAAGACGGCTCCAAGAGGGCCCCAAGACGGTCCAAGAGGCCTCCAACACGCCCAAGATGGCTTCCAATTCGGCCCTGGAGCTCGCCAAGAGGGCCCCAAATCGGCTCAGAGAAGCTCCCCTCACGGCTTCCGACGGCGCAGACCGGACAGGAATACCGTGAGAGGGCCAAAGAGGCCTCCGAAAAGCCCCCAAGGCCCATAAGAGGCCCAAGGAGGCACCCAAGATGCCTCCAAGAGGCTCCCAGGAAGCTTCCAGGAGGCCCCAAGCGTGCCCCCAGAGGCTCCCAAGATGCCCCCTCCTTTTTCCTCCTCCTCCTCCTCCTCCTCCTCCTGATCTTCTCCGCCATCCTCCCCCAGGTGTTCCCCGAAGGATTTCCACAACGGCTGGGGGAACACATGGTCCGATAGCTTGGCAGCGCTCTTGCCACAACGCTCGGCCACATAGGCGATTCCAAAAGGCAGGGGGCCGCGGTGACTCGCCGTAGGCGTCTTCGATAATACGATGCAGCATCTGGAAGATCTGAGTAGCTGAAGCATTTTGCCAATCCTCTCTCCTCCTCCTCCTCCTCTTCTTCTTCTTCTTCCTCCTCCTCCTCCTCCTCCTCCTCTTCCTCCTCCTCTTCCTCCCTCCTCCTCCTGCTCCTGCTCCTCCTCCTCCTCCTCCTCCTCCTCCTCCTCCTCCTCCTCCTCCTCCTCCTCCTCCTCCTCCTCCTCCTCCTCCTCCTCCTCCTCCTCGTCCTCCTCCTCCTCCTCCTCCTCCTGCTCCTGCTCCTCCTCCTCCTCCTCCTCCTCCTCCTCCTCCTCCTCCTCCTCCTCCTCCTCCTCCCCCGTCCTCCTCCTCCTCCTCCTCCTCCTCCTCTTCCTCCTCGTCGTGGAGGTACCAGCTGTGGCTTCGGCAACTGTTTAGTTCCGCTTTCCGCCTGCGCGTCCTTCATGGCTGCGGCGGCGACAGCGATATGCTTTTGTGGCCGCTGCCGCAGAACGCGCGCGCCCTCCCGCTGACTAGGAGGGCGTCCTCGGCACACGCCCCCTGAGATTTCACGTTGCAGAAAGATGAAGACATTGCAAATTCATCTTAGGTCGGGCGTGACCTCCTACAGGCGAATGTTGGACGAAAGATGAAAGATAGCCAACACATACGCAACAATGATCAAACATAGTAAACAAATCGTCCCCAGACTATTTCCTTGACTATTTTTGAAAATGCCTCCTGTAGAGGGACATGTTCGACGTAAAATGAATCACCACTGAAGCCCCAGACCCCGCCTTCCTGCGCCATTTTCGAGCTGGATCGATCTGGGCGGGTCCCGCGCGAACGCGCCCGTGGTGAGGCCTCCTCCGGGAGGCCCAGGGCCCTTCTACTCGGACACCATCTGGGAGGCTTGGCATCATGGCGAGGGCCCGTGCGCGCATTCCCGCAGCACGGCGGGGAACGCGGCGCAGGCGGCCACCTCCGCGCCGCCGCCCGCGCCGCGGGAGGCCGCCCGAAAGCCGCCGAGGGCCGCCGAGGGCCGCCAGGCCCCCACGAGGCGTCCTCCCGAGGGTGCCCCTGGTGAGGAGGCCCGCTCGCAGCCGGCCGGCGCTCTGCAAAAACTCCGAGTTGGTGACGCTGTCCGGCCGGCTGCCGCGGTGGTTCCGCAGTTCGACGACCTCTGGGCGACCTCCTCCCCCCCTTCCCATTGCCCCCCTCCCCCGCCACCCAGTTTTCTAGGGGATGCTTTTGAAACGTATATCTTGAACCTTAGTGTGTTCGGATGTACACATGAAACACTCAACGTCCTCGCGGTTCGAAGCGTCTGAAACCTCCGGGCTCACTCGAAATCCAACCCAGATGCCTGTCGGGAAGCAAACTGCTTTCAGCGAGGCGTGGAATGATCCACGGACCTTGGGTTATGAATCCCATGGTGCGAGCCTTCATAACAAAACAACCTGAACTGTACTGACACACTTGCAGAAATGCTTTGCTACAACAGATTGGCTTGCCAGGCTTGCGTGAATCGACGTAGAACTGGCAATCCATGTCAGGAAAAATAAGGAAAATGAGAGGATGATCGCGTCATTCAGTTCCATTTATTCCCTACCTAGGCTCTGCCTAGAAGGGTTCTTACTCGCTTGGCTTAAAGGGGCCGGGCAGTGCAAACCGCCCCGGGCGGTTCTCCCAGTCCCCTGGGAGCCAAGCAAAAGCAACAGCAAAGGTAAAAGCAAACGCACGGTTCCCCCAGTTGCGCTCCCTGGGTGCCAAGCAAAAGCAAAAGCAAAGGCAAAAGTGAAGGCAAAAGCGAAGGCAAAGCAAAAAGCATAGCATAGCATAGCATACCATAGCATACCATACCATAGCGCAGCATAGCATAGCATAGCCTAGCCTAGCCTAGCCTGGCCTGGCCCAGCATCGCATTGCGCAGCATAGCATAGCATAGCATAGCATAGCATAGCATAGCATAGCATAGCATAGCATAGCATAGCGCAGCATCCACTATTGCTGCTGCTACATATATATATATATATATATACACTTGTAGATATGTGTGTGTGTGTGCGCACGTATGTTCCACTCCTACTAATGTTGCTTTCCTAGAGGCTCCAACTCCTAGGTAGGGTCGCACTGGGATAATTAACCATCTCATGTAGATGAGTTTGGTAACCCACCCACGGCTGCAACGCATGCCGTGGACATGGACGTCGTAGTCTGGCTGAGAGTGCAAGTTCTCGATCTGCTTCTTCGTAGCCTTTGGGTCTCGTAGAACACGCTGGTGGCGTATCGCTTGGTTCTCGAGCAGGGTGACCATTCACTCGCCTGTGGTGCAGTAGGTCAGAACCATACCACCTTGGTGCAACCATCGGCAAACATGATTCTCGTAGGCACGCGTAAAAGAGATCTGATACGATGGCGTACTCGGTCTTCTCGCAGGGCCATGATGGCAACTCGCTGTGGCTTGTCCGAAAGGACTCCACGTTCACAAATGACCAGCTCGAAGAGGTCCATAAAATCTGTGACGGCGTCGGGCAGAATGACTGCTTTATGTTCCAGTGATAGCTTTGGCATGGCATGTGCTGTCAACGTCTCGCGATTGTGAAAGAGCCTTTGCCCAAAGAGCTCCGTGACTCTTCCTGCGATGAGCTGTCTCATCAGTGTGCGCCCCACTGCTAACGCTGTCTCCGTATTCGATGTGGAGTGAGATACTCGGGGCGCCTTGAGAGCACTGAAGAACAAAGCGTGCCCATATCCTCAAACGCGCGGCAACTGTTTTCCAATGATCCATTCAACCGTCTCGTGCCGGAATGTCGTTCATGTGCAAGACGGAATTGCCTTGCACGGGCTGTTGCTCGTCTTGCTGGCGTATCCGCATCCTGACGTGCTGCGCAGCCGTGCTGGACGGACAGTCCACCCTGTGGGAGTGAAGTCCGTTCGTTCATTCAGGGACTTCATCTTGATTGCCTTGGCTAGGGTTTGTTTACCTTCGCATTGAGGCGCTGAACTAATGGATGTACCATCTTGGACTGAGGAGCGACCGCGCCATGAGCAATCTTGATCCAGGTGAGACAGAGCCACAGCGTATTGCAGACCAATGATCAAAACTGGTGGTGCTCGAGCTCGTTCAGCTCCTGGGGGCCCTTCCTGATGTTGGCTTTGTTCGAAGACTTTGCTGCCAAGCGCTTCCCCGGATAGTGCTGCTGATGCGCTGGGAGGTGATGTGGTGCCTGTAACTCATGACGCATGGCCAAGTGCAGGAACGGAAACGACGCCCTCTTGGGATTGCAGGACTTCTTTCCGAGCTTCCAGATCACGGAGAGAGCGTGATCCACCGCCGCTCTACTGTGGAAAATTGCCAACCTTTTCCTCTGGAGCCCGGGGGTCGCCCCCCCTCCCCCCCTCCGAACCCCCCCCCCCCCCTGCTGGAACCCCTCCCCCCCCCCCCCCTCACCCGGCAAAACCCCCCCCTCCCCTAACCCCTCCCCCCCCCCCCCCCCCTCCCGCTCGAAAACCGAACCGGGGGGGGTCACTACCGGTTCGAACCCCTCCCCCCCCCCCCCTCCGGATCCGGAAAACCGGGGGGGGTCACTACCGGTTCGAACCCCCCCCCCCCCTCCCCCCTACTCACCGCCAGCAAACGACTCCCGGTCCCCACCACCGTCCGCATCACATCCCCCACTGGTGTTCCCAGCACCACTGTCCTCACCACCGCTGTCCCCACTGGTTCCACCACCGCCCCTACTGTCCCCACCAGTGGCCCCACCACTGTCGCACTGTCCCCGCTGTCCCCAGAACTGTTCCCACCACGGTTCCACTCTCCCCACTGTCTCCACGGCCCCAACCACTGCCCGACTATCCCCACTGTCCCCACTGTCCCACTGACTCCTCCGCTGTCCCACTGAGCTGTCCCACTGTTCCCACCACTGTCCCCACTGTCCCCACCACTGTCCCCACTGTACCTCTGTCCCATTGTCCCACCGCCGTCCTCGCCACCGCCTTCACCACTGTCCCCACCACCATTGTACCCTCCACTGTCCCACTGTTTCCACCTCATTCCCATTGTCCCCACACCACTGTCCCCACCACCACCGTCACCACCACTGTCCACTGTCCCCCCCTGTTCCCACCATTGTCCCCACCACTGTCCCCACCACTACCGTCCCCACCACTGTCCCACTGTCCCACTGTCCCCACCACTGTCCCGCTATCCCCTCACCACTGTCCCCACCAACACCGTCCCCACCACTGTCCGCACCCCCACTCGGTTTTCGAGGGGGGGGGGTTCGAACCGGTAGTGACCCCCCCCGGTTTTCCGGATCCGGAGGGGGGGGGGGGTTCGAACCGGTAGTGACCCCCCCCCCTTTTCATGATGAGCAGGGGGGGGGGGGGAGGGGTTCGAACCGGTAGTGACCCCCCCCGGTTTTCCGGAGGGGGGGGGGGGGAGGGGTTCGAACCGGTAGTGACCCCCCCCGGTTTTCCGCCAGCAGCGGTAGAACACGCTCTTTCAGATCACGTGAACGAGAGGCTCCTTGGAGGCTGCACCCGGTAGGTCGTCGACGTGAATGATCCGGAGTCGCTTGCCAGCCGTCCTTGATCGTCGGGAAGCCCTCGCCGTGCGTTCTCATCCTGTAGCCGACGTTCAGCTTGAGGTAGTGCAGTTGGGCCAGCTGCCACGGCAACGGTGCGTCGACAAGGCCGTGGAGAGCCTTGAGGCATCTGGGGATGCCAAAGAAGATGCCTGCGTCCTTGACTGTAATCTTCCTGTTCGGGGTTCCTTTCCAATGCTCCGCTGATTCGCCGGTGGGCGGAACCGTGCCGGGCGTGCCTCTATGACTTCGCGACCGAGCTCCTTCGCCTTGGCCACGGCCCCTGGGGGCGTAAGTCCTCGGAGACATGCTGTTGGGATGTCAAAGGTTTCCAAAACAAATTGAACCTGCGTGGCCAATGAAGGCTGAAATCAATGACTTAGCTTCGACGCTGTCGTGGGCAATCTGCTGACTGACGCTCCATGGCGATTCAGGAAGCCGTGGCCGCGGCATCTGGGTTACACGATGCACTTCGGCCTGTTCTTCCACTTGCGAACCAAATGCCATCCACCACGACAGTGGCGGATGCCGCTACGTCCAGTTCAAGGACGTCGTGGCTGTAGAGAGAGAAAAGAAAGAGAGAGAGAGAGAGAGAGAGAGAGAGAGAGAGAGGGAGAGAGGCTGAGTCCACATTATCACCGATCTCCACGACATCCCACTGCTCAGTGTACGACGTGTTCCGACGATGCTGAGATGCATAGGTCGTCTCGGAGGTCGTAGAAGACGCAATGGGCCTTGGATGCTAACCAATTCCAACACCACAAAGGCCTCGTGAGATGTCCAAGGAAGTTCGCCATGCTGGCTGAAGTGTAGGACTTGGTCTGCATCACCAATAACATGCGCGAGCTACTCCTCGTCGGAGAACGGGCTGAAGCCACCCGGGGATCGGCGGCGCAATGCTTGCCAAATGTATCTTCCAGCTTGCACCCGATGCCATGCCTGATGGCTCTGCGTCTCTAACTTCTCCTCCATGTTCTCGTCGACTTCCTCGGGTGTCGCAAGGCCGTGGTCGATGGTCGCGTCCACGTCGGCTGGTTCGGCCAGTGGCAGTACTGGCGCAGATGCCGAGCCTGAGGCAGTACTGTCCTCGGGCTTGGCCCCTTGCGGTGCTGGGCCATCCTGGGGGCTCTCCGACGCATCGCGTTTCTGTGCTGTCGAACGAGGTGCAAGTGGTGATGCGATTCGCTGCTTGTTGATGGTGTTTTGTCTTACTGCCAATTTGGAAAGGTCCCGTGAGTTTAGAACAGGTCCGTAGTCTCGCGTGCAAGATGGGTCAAACTCTGGCGTGGGGGCGGTGGTCATTCGTCTTCCTGGCGGGCTGCCGTCGCAAGTGATTCCGCTCGTGATAGCATAACTTCGGGCAGTTCACGTAGTCCAAGAGAATAGTCGATGGTCTTGTCGCTGTCGGCTGCTGTCGTCGGCTCTTGCGTGGGTACGAATGCTCACTGCGGCGCCACTGGCGACCCTGGGATGGCAACTGCATGTCACGTGGGCTCCGCCTGTGTGCTTGGTCGTGTTCCCTGGGCCTCGACCATTCTGCTGCATCAAGAGAGTTCGTCGTTGACTCCGGGAGCTTGGTAATGACCGTGTCG